GAGAATAGTGCAACAATGAATGAGTGGAAGCCCAAAATCTCTGTAAATGTTTATGAAAATTAATAAAATATAATTATAGAAAAAAAAAACAAACAAGAGGGATTCTTACTGGGTTGATGAAATATACTAAAACTAACTTATAGGTGATGGTTGTATACCACTCTGGTTGCCTACTGGCAAGACACGGTGCCGCCAATCTGAAGGCATGTGGTTCAAATCCAGCAGCTGTTCTAAAAAAGAAAGATGAACAATCTCCTTCTTTGCTATTTACGGCCTCTGAAAATTCCACTGGAGGATTAGCTATGGTTTAGTTCCAACTCTACAGTACGTAACAACTAGTGAGCTCTGGTGGCTTAGTGGTAAGGAACTGCACTGCCAGCCCAAAGGTACACAGTTTGAATTCACCAGCTGCTCTGTGGGAGAAGATGGGCAAGCTCTTCCCATATGATTTACTGCCTCTGAAAACTACTGGAGGGTCAGCTATGGGTCAGTTCTGACTTGACTGTATACAGCAGCAACTACAACAAACTTTAGTTTTCATGCATTTGTCAGTTCTACATATTTCATGTAAGTGGGATGACATTATATCTATACATACACTGTGTCTGATTTCTTTCAAAAAAGAATGACACACTATTTAGCCATAAAGAAATACATGTATTAAGGCATAGTTGGACTTTAAAACATTAAACTAAGTGAAAAAAAAAATCAGACAAAAAAAAAGGACATATATGAAAGGTCTAGAACAGAAAAATGCATAAAAATTAACAAAACTTATTAGTGTTTACTAAAAGTTCTTGTGGTTTAGTTCCAAACCCTCTTTGGTGGTTCAAATCTACCAGTGGATCCTCTGGTGTAATTTATATCCTTAGAAAACTTGCCTTGAGTATCAGCTATGAGATAGTTCCAACTTGGCAGCAGTGAGAGAATGAATAAGGTTAAGGTGTGGGTGGCAGGGAAAAATGAGGTGTTTAAGTAGTACTGTGTCTCTTAAAGGTGCTGGAAGGAATTTGGACCCAATAATGGTACTCCGTTGCACAACATGGAAAAGGTAATTGAGGTTACTAAAATATACCTTATCATAGTGGAGAAAACCAACAACAAAAACCAAAACCAAATGAAAAACTTCAGTCTAAACTAAAAAAAATCCTTTCAATGATACCTGATGTCAAGAGAAATAAAAGATACTTTTAACAGCTTGATACTAACATAGACTTTTAATTTTATCTATGTTTTTATATCTTTTGGGAATACAACTATACAGACACTTCCAGAACATGCACATTCCTAGGGTAAAAAAGATAAACACACATATTACCTAAGCACAAATAAAAATAGGGCAAAAAAAGATGAACAGAAAATTCATATACTGTTAGACTAGGATTTAGTTTAATTTCAATATATAAACTCCAGTCAAAAGGAATTGTTTGAAAATCTTACCTGCTACTGAATTTGGCCGTGGCATGAGATATAGTGGAATAGATTGTACTGATTGGGACAAAACAGTTTCCAAATTCCTCTCTGGGATTTTATTGAGACTATAGGTAGAAGCCATCATGTTTTCATCTACTCGATATAAACAGGAGTCCATGCTGGATTTTTGAGATTGCCACGGTTTCAGATTTCCTCCAGATCCTAATTCTTTACTGCTTTCTCCAACATATTTTGTGCGTTCCACATTTTCAGAATAGCTTGTCAAGGTGGCTAAAACACAAAATGAGTAAAATAAATTAAAAAAGATAAGAGATTAGTCTTTTTGATTATTCAAATTTATCATTAGATAATAAGGATAATATTAATATTTTTTAAAGTTGATGATGATCATTTTACTCTCATCATGAATTCTAAACTACTGAAACCAAAACACAACTGTTTCTCATAAACTTGAACTTTAATAACTTTATCTAAATGAGCCAAACATGTTAGTTAATAAATTCAGAATATACCAGTGATAAAATTGTATTACAGAAATTTATTTATATTCATAAATTTTAAGACCATAATAATGGCAATAAGGAAAAATGAAAAACGTGCATTTTAATTATTCATCCAATTTGTACTATTTTATAGGCTTTAATGTAAACCTTTCTGTAAAATAATTTCATTTTTTAAATGTTAATTTAAATCAGAGTCAAATATTAACAATGAACTGAAAGTTGTCCTTTTGCATTACAATTACACTTTGTATCTGCCTTCTTTATACTCTCTACTTTTATTTCCAGTGGAGTAGAAATATATTTTTTGTTTCATGTTTACTTATAAATACATATGGCATTTTATTCATCTTTGGTTCATCAAACATGTAGAAAATATTTCCCAGTTGGTATTTTTACCCAAATAATGTGTTTTCTTCACTGAATAGAAATTCTTAATTTTTATGTAGTAATTATAAATTTTTCCTTTCATAGTTCCTGCCCTTTGTGTTATGCTTAGATAGTACTTGATTATAAAATTATCAAGAATTTTATCCATTATTTTCTGCTAGTATGTTTAAGGTCTTGTTTTTTATATTTAAATATTTAATTAATCAGGATGAATTTGGATGCAAGTTATGGAGTTATAATTTGTTTCCCAATAACAACTATTTAGATGGTTCAAATCCACTAGTTGCTCCATCTCTTGTTACACAGTTTACTGCCTTAGAAAACCCACTTGAAGGTCCCAACTTGACAGTACACAATAACACAAAATATTCTCTTCTAGGATTATGTATTTTTTTCCAAAAGCATAGCACAAAAAAAGTAGGTTCTTGTAACTCCTCAAGTGTTTTAGGGAAGAGGGAACATCTATTCACCTTATTCCTAATATTTCCCAAGAGAAAGACAAGCAAGTCCCTTCTCATAAAGATTTACAGTCTTGTCCTCTCCTCCTTTCCTTTCAAGGAGGGAGTTCCATCTCTTTGGGACGTGACTTCCTAAGAAATCTATCTTTACTCTTTTACCTTCACTTCTGCCTCCTCCTCATCTTTTTCTCCTCATTCCCATGTTCAAATAAAAAGCTTTGGCTTACACTTTAATGCTCCACACACTGAAGCCTGCTCTTCCGAAGAAACCCCAAGATTGCTCTACCCTGTGCTACCTTAGAACTTGGGCACCACTCCCTCCTCTACTTTCTTCTGCCTCGCACAACTCCTTTCCCTGTGTGAGAATGGTAAAGTAGGACACTGAATGCACGATAGTGCTTTGGTTTTGAAATCGGGATAATTCAAGAAGACATATTTTTCCACTATCATTAAGTGCATTCAAACATCTACTTGGTGAGTAAGAAAATATTGGTGTCGGATTTATGGTGGACTGGAGTAGAAAAGGCTCAGAGTATGGAGGGAATGATTTTGTTTCCTTTTGTCTCAGCATTGCTCATATGGTAGGGAAACTGCTTTCTAGGAGTAGTCAGTTTGGGTTCTTCTTCCTACCGACTGGGAAAATAGCAGAGGGTCATGTGTTGATGTGCTTTTTTTCTTTTTTCAAGCAAAGTAGGAATACTTTTCTGTGCTACTGAGATATGCAAACCCATAGCCATTCTAGGATGGCAGGCCCCATTCACACCACGTGACCGGGATGACGTGCCCATCCACATAGTGTCCAAGGTGGTGGAGGCCTCCACATACCCCACATGGTTGATCCAAGATGGCGGCTCCCACTTACTAAATATTGTCCTAGAATATACAGTGACATTCTGCTTATCTAAATACACATAATTAAGTACATATATTAAAGTGCTTTAATTTAGAAATCAGGGAGCTCTGGGAACCTAGTGGGAATCTCCTCCCAAGTGATTAAATGTCTCTGAAAACCCACTGGGGAGGATCAGCTATAGACTGGTTCTGACTTGATGGTACACAACAGCAACAATTTAAAAATCACTAACAAATCCAACCTCTCAAATAAATTAGCTCCTAATTATTTTATTTTTTTCTTTTTCTAGTTTATTTACAAGATTCAAATACAAATTTGAACAAATTCTTTCCATTTCCCTCACCCCTCACCCATCAAACTGTATAACCCAATGATTAATTCTTAAAACTCTCAGTCATAAATCTGAAATTAAGCATAATTTTTTAAAAAAGAAATGAAGCCTAATATTTGTTCCTCTTTATACAGCCAGTCATGAGTGCTGGAGACAGAGCAAATGGCTCTACAAGGACACTTGACTGTCAACAGTTTACATTTTACTTTTAATACTGCCAGATCTTTCTTCCATGGTGCATAAGTGGTAGTAGGTTTGAACAACTGACCTTCTGGTTAGCTGCTGACTCACTTAACCACTACATCATCAAAGATTCTTTATTAGGTTTATTCTGGGTGAAACTAAGGGGCATGATTAATGGGTTTTGTGGGAATTAATGAAATATGCATTCTTAAGAGAGAAGATTCTTTCTAGAATAATGTATTGAAATGAAATAAGATACTCAAGATTACAAAAGAAACCAATATTGTTGAAATGAGCAATCAAAATATTAAAAACAGAATCTGACATAGTAATTTGTTATGTGCCACTGAGTTGACTCTAATTCATAGCGACCCTACATACAATAGCTCTGAACCCTGGTCTGTCCTGAGCCTATTTAATCATCTCTGACATACCTACTCACATCACCCTAGTCACTCAGTCAATCCATCTTATCCAGGGTCTTCCTCTTTTACGCTGTCTCTCCACCCTTCAAAGCATGGTGTCCCTCTCCAAGTACCCTTATTAATGTATTAAACTACAAGATCCGGTGACAGTCTAAATTGTACAATTTTTAGATGGAGATAAGTGTAAAAGTTATTTTATGGATCTGAAAAACATTACAATGTTATATGAAAATATATTACATTTTTATTTGTGTCAAAGTCACAATATATACCTCTTTGTTAAGTACCTTAAAAACATATTTTTGATTCTTAATTATACTACCAAAAGAGTAAATAACAAAAGGCAGAAACTTCATAAGAATTTAAACTTTGTTCATGAAAGGATTCTATCAACAAAGTGAAAAGATAACCTAAATAAAGGGAAAAAATTGGGAAGGAAGTACTCTGCACATGATAAGGGTTTAATTCTCCCTTATTAAAAACTTCTACAATTTAAGAACATAAAGATCCAACATAAAACAAGGAATAGTTAAACGTTTTGAAAATATTTTAATGCTATCTGTGATTTAATATTTCACTTTCTTTAGTAACTCTTGAGGAGCAAGCATTGTTAAACTTGACAAAAATAAAATTAATCAATTATTTTTTTTCTTTTAAGGTTCATGACTTTTGGGTTTTGGAAAAAAAAGAATAATCTTTGCCCAATTCAAGGTTACTAAGACTTATGTGTCTATAATTTCTACTGGAAGTGTTATATCTTTAGCTTTTTTGCTTTTAGTCCTATGATCCATGTTGAATTAATTTTTGTATATTGGATGAGGTAAGAAATAAGAGTAGGATTTTTCCCTACTCTGCAAATGTAAATTTTTCAGCAACATTTACTTAAAAGAATATCCTTTCCTCATTGAAAGACTTCAGTATCTTTGTCAAAATCAGGCTGCAATACACATCTTCTATTTTTTATCTAACTATTATTTTCTATGATTTTATTTTACTTGGAATGGAATGGAAACAACAATCAAGAAAGAAAATTATGGGCTCCATGCTCCCCTGATGCAGTCAGGGGCTGCAGCTCCACCCTCCCCATACACCAGAGTCACAACCCTGTCTCCTCACAAGATGTGGCGCCACCAACCCTTTACGGCAGGTCCCACCTCCCACCTTAGTGGGCCCCCCTCCTAGTAGGCTCGGCACACCCCGCAGCAGGACTGCCACTTTCACTGTACCTGAGACCTTGGACTTCTGCTTTGAAGGACCCTGAGAAGAGTGAGTCTATGACTGCTAGGATCCAGGCACAGAGAGAGCCTACCCTAAATGTGAGATCCACAGTTACACCCTGGGGCGAGTAAAGTTCTGGAAAGCTTCACCTCCCCGCCAAAGGCCTAGCTAGGTAAGCACTCTCAGTGACATAAGCAAGAGAGGCCTCAGGATCCTCATTTTCAAGGTTCCCGCCCAGCCTGGGACTCATACTCTGACCCTGAGGTGAGCAGAGCTCTGAGAAGCTCTGTCTACCTCCTGAAGGCCAAGTCAAGTAATCACACCCTATGACTCAGGCAGAGATGAGAAGCCTTGGGGAGTTCATCCCTAAGGACTCTACCTGACCTGCGACCCACCTTCTAACCCTGTGGTAAGTAGAGCTTCAGGAAGTGCTTTCTCCATCTGACTGCCTAGCTTGATAATCACCCTCTGTGACTGAGGGAGAAAGGGGAGTCCTTGGGGGCTTCATTTCCAAGGCGCCCACTGGATTGAGGCCGATGCTCTGATCCTGAGGTGCACAGAGCTACAGAAAACCATGCTTCCTGGCCAGCCAGGTGAGGCCACCTGCAGAGGTTGCAGAGATTTTGGAGTTCTACTTTGACACATCTAGGGTGGATGATCAACACTCTACAGAATCAAAGCCTTTTTTTCTCCCCAATTTATAAACTTGAAGAACTACACCTAGCACTACCAGACCACCATGAGAGTACAATAAAACTCTCTTTCCTTTCTACAAAAACATCATCATAATTACATGAAGAAGCAGACTACCTCAAAACCCACACAAAACCAAAGCAAAGTGTCACCCAAAGAAGTGATCAAAACAGAGTGAATGGACTTCGTGGAGGAGCAAAGGCTGATAGAGATTGCTGA